TACTCGTATGAAATGTTGTAACTGGAGAATGGTGTCTCAGAATTTTTCTCTCTCAAAACTCTTACTTGAATACTTTCATTCCTATAGACCAGCTGTTCTCAAACTGTGAGTCGGGACCCCAAAGTGGGTTGTGACCCTGTTTTAATGGGGTCGGTAGACTTGCTGGGCCCCAGGGCTGAGGGCCAAAGCCCAAGCCCCACCACCTGGGGCTGAAACCCAAGGGCTTCAGCCCTGGTGGCGGGGCTCAGGCTTTGGCTTCAGCCCTGGGCGGCAGAGCTCAAGTTATAGGCCCCCCGTCCAGGGCTGAAGCTCTTGGGCTTCAGCTTTGGCCCCATCACTTGGGGCGGTGGGGCTCAGGCTTTACCCTCCTGCCCAGGGCGGTGGGGCTCAGGCTTTACCCTCCTGCCCAGGGCAGTGGGGCTCAGGTGTGCTCAGGCTTCGGTCACTCTCTCCTGGGATCGTATAGTAATTTTTGTTGTCAGAAGTGGGTCACAGTGCAATGAAGTTTGAGAACCCCTGGTATAGACATAAGTGGAAGGGCAGGGAATTAATTTATTTCTGTTGGTACAACTTGAGTAATTGCAGACCTTATTCCATTTTCAAATGTGTATCAAGAATAGGCTGTAGGAGTGCTGCTTATGGATAGACTAGCTTTTTGCCTTGTGATACAAGTATAAGTGTGCATAATTTCATGCTGTGTTGTTTTGACCCTCACTGAATTGCAGTTGTTTTTGTGTAGTGTTCTAAATTATTGATGTACTGGATATATTTTTTAATTGTCTGTTTGAATATCTAGTGAAATAAAATTGTTTGCATGAAATAAAATGCATTTCTCAATACTACTTGTATGTGCTTTATACATTCAGACTTGCTCTAGAAATGCTTTTGCTACTAATCTTTTTCAGATAATTTTACTTTTTCTCCAATTAATTGTGAATTGATTTCATTGAGAGTATAACCTTACTAAGGTGCCACAAGTATTCCTAACCTTACTTTGGTTTATTTTAACTTCCTTCAAATAGCAGACTAATATTAAACTTACAGGATTTGTATGTACTCATCACACATTTCAAGAGGGGAAGGATACTTCTTGGAATAGTTTACAGAGGTATTCTGAAAAAGAACAGTGATACATTGGGTTTGTTTTGTTTTTTCCTGCAGCCCAACTGGTTAAACATAGGAATAAACAGTGTTACTTCCCATCTTCATTGGGAAGCTTTATCTTCCACACTATGATCTTTAAGCTGCTGAAGCATGAAGCTTCCCTTGTAACCCATCCAAAGTGCACTATTAAAGATTGTGATCTGAACCTCTGCTTTTTGCAGCGCAGCATCTCCCATGATTCTGATGTATAGTAGGCTGCTTCCTTCCTCTCTGCAGTTCCAGAGGCATTGTGATGTAGTCTCTGCTGGCCATGCCCCCTCTTGTGGTTTTTCACCAGAATTTCTACCTCCATGGCAGCAGAGTGGCTGTTTGCTTTGCTCCTCACCATTTCCTTTGTCAACTTTTTCAATTCATTTTTCAAGGAATAACATGCAACTTTATAATGCTTGTTCCTCTTACTTCTCCTCTTCCTCTTCCCTGGATCAGCTAATTGGTAGACTGATGGTTTTAGCCACCCAGATCTACCACTGTAGCAACCTCCTCTCTTGGACTTCTCAAACAATGGCAGAGCATACGAGCAGGAACCTGGCAAAGTCTATGCAGCATCTCCCTATGTGAAACAGTATTTACAGGTTCTACAGGAGTAAAATTATGCCCTCCCTGTTCACAACAAGCCAACACTTGCATTGCACCTGCATGGGTCTCAAGCAGACTGGTGTATTGGATACCCCACCTGTCCTGAGGAGCCACAACTCCAATGCAGAAAAGCCCAATCAGGAGCTTCCCAGACTTTCAGGAGGAAAGTATAAGGATGAGGATGCTGTTATCCCAGTTAGGAGAGTAAGTCCTACAAAAGACCTGGGCTGTAAGGGAAAAAACCCTTAAGCGATCCAATGTCCCTCCCAGAACTGATGGGGGTCCTCGGCTCCCTGGGGAAAGAAGCAGGACTCCTACACGTCTCTTCCTTAGATGTTTGGCAGAATTCTTAAAAAGCAATTCTGTCTCACAAGCAGTGGAAATGGGACCCAGAAAGTTAGTATACAGAGGAAGACCTACTAGAAGGCTCAAGGCTCTCAATAAAAAGGATCACGAGAGACTGTGCCCTGCCCATAGCACTGCAGGGATCCCTGTAAAACAGGCAAAAAGAGCCAAAACACTCTGGAAGCACAAAAATGGAAAGAAGATATAAAAAATCTAAGAAATATTTGTACACACTCTCCTCTATTGAGGAGGGAGAATTTCCTGATTCAGACTCTGAGCAGGTCAAGGAGTTAAATATGAAGGTTTCCTCCCCCTCCCTCAACAAATTTGATTCTATGTGTAGGAAAATGGTATCTACCATATCTATATAACCAGATGAGATATTGGATGAGAAGCCTAGACCTGCCAGTCTAATTCTAGCTAGAGGTGGCAGTTCTGCTGTACTCTTCCCTTATAGATGTAATCAGGGATGAATGGGAATACCCTGATGAGGGAAAGGGTGTAAGCAGTCACACACTTAGATACTATAAGATGCAAGAGCCAAAAAATGCCATCAGAAATATTGAATGTTTATGCTGTGGTGGTGATAAAGGATATGATGATCCCATCAGAAGAGAATTTCTTCCCTAAAGATACAGCTGACAGAAAGATGGAGGTTAACTTTAGGAGGGATTTTGAGACTTCCTTGGCCACTGAGAGTATTCCTGGTCACTACCTGCTTTTCAACAGCTGCAGTGTCTTCTACAACATGCACCTGCCAAACCCTCAGGTACTCATGACAGAGGTCAACCTATTGGGGTGGGGGGGGAGCACATTGAATCGCAGAAATGTAGGACTGGAAGAGACCTTGAGAAATCAAGTCCAGCCTCTTGCACTAAGGCATTACCAAGTAAATCTAGACCATTCCTGACAGGTGTTTGTCCATCCCGTTCTTAAAAACCTCCTTGGACGCCTACTCCAATACTTAACTACCCTTAGAGTTAGGGAGTTTTTCCTAATCTCTAACCTAAATTTCCCTTGTTGCAGATTAAGTCCATTACTACTTTTCCTGCCTTACTGAACATGGAGAACAATTGATCACATCCTCTTTATAACAGCCCTTAACATATTTGAAGATTGTTGCCAGGTTCCCCCATAGTCATCTCTTCTCAAGTGTAATCATGCCTAGTTCTTTAACCTTTCTCCATAAATCAGGTTTTCTAAGCATTTTATCATTTTTGTTGCTGTCCTCTGGATTCTCTCCAATTTGTCCATATCTTTCCTAAATTGTGGTGTCCAGAAGTGGACACTGTACTCTAGCTGAGGCCTTGCCAGTGATGAGTAGAGCAGGACAAATACCACTTGTCTTACATACAAGACTCCTCTTAATACACCCCAGAACTGTATTTAGCTTTTTTGCAGCTGCGTCATATTGATGATGACTTAATCAGTTGGTGATCCACTATATTCCCCAGACCCTTTTTGGCAGTACTACCATCCCCATGTATTAGTCATTCCCCTTGTATTAGTTGTGCATTTGATTGTGCAATTGTATATTTAATTCCTGGTCATCCTCTGCCAAATTATCACAATAAAAGTTATGGGACAGTCATCTGTTCCATCTTTCAAATGTAGATGCTAAAATACAATACAATCCCTGCAACTGTTCAACTTAATCAAAGTTTGAAAGTCAAATAATTGACTCAAATTAGAAAAAGAGCATAATCCTAAGTAAACAGCACCAACCCTGGGACCTGCTTCTGTATTCCCTACGCACCCAAAACTCCCATAGGCTTGGGAGATTTGCCTGAATGAGACTGCTGGAGTTATGTACTGTTTATGTTGTAGTCACAACCTAAGGTCCCAAACATGATCATGGTCCCATTTTACTCGGTGCTATAGAAACATACAAAGATAAGGTCCCTGTCCTAAAGAAATCTCAACAGGCAGCAGTTAATCTTCAGATGAGAAATCACTGAGCCAGCAACTAAACTTTTCTGGCTGCATTGCCTCAGGAACGGGACAAGGACCCCATTGTGATTCTGGGAATTACAATCTGCTCCCCCAATTTTGCCAGCCTTTTTTGTGGTGTAGCTTGTTTCTTCCTTTGCACCACTCTTCTTCATAGGAGTATGATAAGCAGTTGCTTTCCCTCCTCCTGTGCAGTGTTTGCTGTCGGTAGTGCACAGCCAAGCTCACAATTGAGCCCTAAGGGACAGGTTCATCATCATGGCCAGCGTCAAACTTCAGAGATCAGTTCACAAACACCAGGGTGCTACAACATTGTGATATACTCACCTCCTGCAGGGAAAGCTCAAAATCGGGACACAGGTCATGGCAAGTAAAACAAAGTAAATACTTTATTTCATACTGTGTGTCATTGTTGAGTCTGCCTGCCTTGCCTGTTAATCACTGAGACTTCAGAACAGTTTTCTGTATTTGTTTTGAAATCATTTTGGCTCATTTTTAAGTTGCAGGCTCAGAAGCTACCCTCCATTCAACTGTATATGTCCCCTTTTAACTTCTCAGAAGTTACCTGGGATAGGAAGGATTCTGGTTCCAGTCATGCAGCATCGCTCACGCACTTTCAGAATCCCATTTAGCACAGAAATAGCTGCTCCAGAGAATATCATCCCTCACTAAGGGCTCAATCCGGCAAGGTCCACTCTGGGTCCAGTCAGCAAAGCACTTACTTGCATTCTTCACTTTAAGCCAGATGAGTAGGCCCATTGAAGTCAATGAGAATACCAACATGATTAAAGTTAAGCAAGTCTTTAAGTTCTTTTGATCAAAGCCAGAGTGCTCAGCACCTTGCAGGATCAAGCCCCAAGTGATGCCTTAAAAGAAGGAACATAAATTATAAGAGAGTGAATTTAAAACCAAACAAACATGCAGCTAGTTTTGTTTTTTCATCAAATGTTTATTACATTATTCCATAAAGTTAGGTCATACAGAGTGCTTGGATTATCCAGGAAATGTATCATTTCCCTCAAGCAAGTGAGTCATGTCTACTAACAGCTGCTTCTCATTTTTAAAATGATGGTGTTAACCAAATATGCAATGTTTTAAATTATGTTTGTTTCTGTTTCCCTGCACTGCGGATCCTAAAGACCGCAGTTCTTACGAGCTTAACACAAAGGTAGATGATCCCCAGGACAGACCCTGACAGGAACAACAAAACATCCAGTAAGTACTGCTGATACCAGGACTGCTGAAAGGCATAAGGCTGGAGGTGAGCTCCTCCCCTTGCCTGGAGGACATGCTCTATCCATCGTCCCAGGCGTTGATCTGGCGGGAGCGGGTGGGAGTGATGAATTGTGCTCAGAGACATTACTGCAGATTTATACCTGTGTGAAGAGATTAAAATGCAGAGACTTGTGGTTATTAAATGATCATAGTTGAAAGCATGGCCAATGACGTTCTAAGCTATTGCTCCTGGGCAGGATTAAATTAAAGCAACCTAGGGCCCTAGCCATACCCTTTATGGGGTCTCGCTCTGGCTCTCCTTGGGGTGGCAGCTATCAGAGTTCAGATGAATGGGGCAATTCACAGCTCTTGGACCAAGGGGTCATGCCTGCCTGAGTTTGCAGTTATTTTTTGTAGGTTCGCTTTGCATCTATAAGGCCAGGTCTACGCTAAAAAGTTAGGTAGATCTAGCTACATCGTTTAAGGGTCTGCAAAACTCATGCTCCTGAGTGACTAGTTAAGCCAACCTAACCCCTGGGGTAGACAGCACTAGGTTGACAGAAGAATTCTTCTGTCTTCCTAGAAGAACCACTCCCATCGCTCTAGTGAGTGTCTACACTGAAGCGCTACAGCAGCAGAGCTGCAGCACTTTTAGTGAAGACATAGCCTCGGCATTAGAAACATAATTTAATGAACAAATTAAAGCTGCAATTCTGATCTCATCATGGAACTCCAGGAGTGGGGCCCCAGGCAAAGGTTTGTAATGTCTGTGCCTTAATCTAGACCTGCACAAGGCACTTTAATCATTGTGAAAATATATATATTTATTTTTTTTAACTTTAATGTTAAAAACATGTATAGAAAATCTGATGTACTAGGTCATCATCTAATAACTCACTGGCCTCATTTCCCACAGCGTTTGCTTTCAAAACATGTAATTTTTGAGGCTGTCTTTAACTCTATCCTTGAATGATCCAGTTTTGAAGGGGCATAGATAACCAATAATGCGCAATGAAAATAATAACCAATATGTGCAATGAAAACAAAACTAAAAGCCCTGAAACTGGGGCACAGCTTTTGAACATCTAAATTGTTCCAGAAACAAATATGTGACACGTAATAACTTCACTGGCTACAGATGTGTACTATGGGCCCAATCCTGTGAGGTACTGACTCCCAACAACTTCCCATTGAAGTCAACTGGAGTTGTGGCTGCTCGGAACCTCGAACTTAAATCCATACATATATCTGACTGATATTTTTGGCATTGACTTCAGTGGGAGCGGGAATGGACCATAAATCAGCCTTCATCCTGTTCCCATTTAAATCAATGGTAAAAGTTTCAGGCCTTAAATACAATAGGAAAATTCAGAGCCATAACCTTCTCTTGCTGCAACTCCATTGGTGGAAGCAAGGATTAAAGTACAGGGGAGTTGGGAGAGCAGAGTTTTCCTGCCTTTTCTTCTCCATTTGAGGAAGCAGTATTTCCCTACAACTCCTTGGATGGAGAGGTGAGATCTCCCCCATCCTGTTTCGATCTACTTTAACAACTGCCTGTAGGAATAGACCATATGGTGACAAAAGTGCCTGCACCCTGTCTACACTGCACTGCTGCTTTTGTTAACAATAGTGGAGAAATGTGGATCCAAACTATGCCAATGTAGACCTCATACCACTGATTTCACAGCGAACAGAACAGAACTACTGACAGGAACATACCTTTTGTCTTCTATAACTTGCTTCATTGTGCGAGTGAATTTGTCAGCTTTCAGTTGGTCTATTCGGAGAGTAATGCCCATATTTTTGGCCTCCACTCGGACCATGTTGTCATGCTGGTCCCCAAAAAGGGGTATTCCCACAACAGGGACCCCATGATAGATAGATTCCATCAAACTGTTCAGCCCCCCGTGGGTAACAAGCAGACGAGCCATAGGATGTCCTGGCCCAAACCAACAAAATATGTTATGTCAGTGGATGAAATTTCACCGTGTTTGCACAGGTTTTAAAAGTAATAATTCTTTCGATTTCTATTCATAAATGTACAGAATGTGTAGCTTTATAACTATTATTTATTACTTGCAGTATAATAATGGCTAGAGGCCCCAATCAAGATCAGGGCCTTGTTGTGCTAGTGTAACACTGATACACCCCGTCATCGGGGGGTGGGATTGAATCTGGGACTTCTGGAGCTTAGTGCATGAGCCCCTCCCGCTTGAGCTAAAAGCCATATGGCCCTTAGCTAAGGCTGTAGAGCAGACTCATTAATCTCTAAGTAGTCTTGGTGCCACTTGATGGGACAGAGCACCACACCCAGGAGGTGTGTGGGTTACACTGGATACTGTAAAAACACAGTACGAGACAATCCCCTACCTTGAAGAATTAATAATCTAAATAGACAAGACAGTCAAATGGTGGCAGGGGACAGATAGAGGAACTATAATAGATACCTGTGGCCATTTGGGAAATCTGTCTCTGTAAAACTTGTGAACTCTAGTTAGATTTTATGAACTTTGTATCATTATGCCTCAGTGAATATTGAATCTGGGGGTCGCCCACAGATAGAAAGCTGTTACAGGAGCATCCAGGCTCATTAATATTTGAATAGGTCTACCTTGGCCATACAGTGAGTTGGCTATAGGGAGTAGCTGAAAGGCAATAAAGTAATTTTTCCAGTCTGGACTTGAGTTGAGAAGTAACCAAAAAATGGATCACCTGATGGTTCACCTTGGTAACATTATGGGATTTTAAGGCTGACCAGGAGGGTCACCTGACAGAAGGGACAGGAAAGTTATAGGAGGACAAGGTCTACTCTTAGGGCTAGTCTACATTGGCAACGCTAAAGCACTGCCGTGGCAGCGCTTTAATGTGCCTTGTGTGGTCGTGGTGCAGCCACCTCAATGAGGGGCGTAGCTCCCAGCACTGGGGGCACAGCTACCAGCGCTGGGGCACTGTTTACACTGGCACTTTACAGCACTGCAACTTGCTGCACTCAGGGGGGTGATAGATACTCATCCCCCTGCGCTCACCCCCCTGAGCGAGAAAGTTGCAGCGCTGTTAATTGCCAGTGTCGACAAGCCCGTTGTAGTGCACACTCTCACTGACCAGAACAAGAAAACAAGACTCAACAGGAGGAAGGAAAGAGGAGAAAAGGGTCTTGGGACCCTAAAAGAACTGATCAAAACTCAAAAGGGTCTTGGACAGGTGAGGACACTGAAGGCATGTTTTTTGTGTGCAGGTTTTGTTGTGTTTCTGTATGGATCTGTAAGTCTCTATGTGTTTGTATGAGTAAAATGTGAGAGTATGCTTAAGAGCTTACTTTTCAAAGCCTCTGAGTTCCTTGCTTGACTTCTCACATGTCCCCAAATGGGGTAAATTGTAAGCTGGAATGTCCATGTGGGTGCAGCTCTGGGGAAGGTGGATTTCAGCTACTGGAGAGACTTGAGTGCTTCAGCACCAGTCTCGGGGATTTGCTTTATATAATGAAGAAGATCTAACAGAACGGCTGCTCTTTGTACTGGATGTTTTATCCTGTTACATGCACTAAGTTGGAGGGAAAGATATTGCAGCAGATCTTAGATACTTTCACATGAGCTGATATGTTGTAAGAGTGACAGTGTACCCCATAAGGAAACTATGCAAATAGAAAGTGTAAATGCGACTACTGAATGTGTATGTGTGTGTGTGTGTGGTGGTGGGAGGTTGCAGGGAGAGGCAAATCCTGAGAAGATAGTAGGTAAAGCAGGCAATGGCTTCTAGCCTTTGTTACATCATCCAAACTGTCAGCACTGAGCAACAGAGATCTTTTCTATCTGCTATCCCCATGGGGGGTGAGATCCTAATCACAGTTCCAAGCAGAGAACAGACAGTTTAAATTGTATATGCACAACCAAACCTGCACTCAGATGGATTATCACAGGATATTCTATGATGCATATGTAACTTCGACAGACCCCAGTTGTCAGCAGGCGGGATCAAACCTGGGACCTTTGGAGCTCAGTGCATGAGCCTCTACCGCATGAGCTAAAAGCCAAACAGGCTGTTAGCTAAGGCTGTAGAGCAAACTCATTTTCTCTCTCTCTAAGTATTTGGAAGAAGCGGATGTGCAAATTCAAAGGAGAAGTCAGTGTTATAAGTCCATAGTTCTGCTTTTAAGTAGAGCTCAGATAAAACAGGTCTGGACCCAGCTGGGAAATGCTCCTTGATGACATTTTCAAATTTGGTTTGGACTTGATATTGTACTATGGCTAAAACAAGAGACATTAGACAGTTCTTCACGCGGCCCCAGAAGTCCATGTGGTCAGCTAGGTTGGAATAAAATACTGGGACATAGGACAGGAGGCTAGGAATCCCAACCTGTGGTCCATTAGCAAAAGTTCCAGGAAACACCGCAACAAAAGGCAGGCCTAGTTTCTCTGCAACCAAGAAGGAGCAGGGATTAAAACCATCCATTACTGTTATGTCAAACTTTTCATCCTTCAAGGAATTCAGGATCTCTGATTCATTTAGTACGACGTGGCACTGGTAGGCCAAGTGGTTCATAAAATCCAAGTAACGGCTGAGGTCCTCTCTGGGGAAAGATAAGACCATTTAGTTAAGTATTATAGTTTAAGCCTACCTTAATTTCTACACAGGGCTATATTCACCTGGCTAAGAGTGTAAATCCCTGCGCACGTTATTGTCATTGATAAATCTCTGCCATGCAAATTTAAATATATAATAATATCTAGCTCTTATATATCACTTTTTATCAGTAGATCTCCTTTACAAAGGAAATCAGCATCACTAGCCCCATGTTACAAATGGTGAAACTTAGGCCCAGGGAGAAAAAGTGACTTGCCCAAGATCAGCCAGCAGGCCAATGGCAGAGCCAATAATAGAACCTAAATCTCCTGTCCAGTGTTCTATCTACAAAACACAACGCACCATTATTGGGTTCAGTGTGCAGGTGCTGGGCAGTATTTGGTGTCCTGTGATATACGGGAGGTCAAACTAGATGATCTGTTGGTGCCTTCTGACCTTAAACTCTGACACCAGGGGAAAGAAATGTAAAGAGTAACAACAACAACAAAATCAATGAGACTTAGGCACAGGTCCTCCAATGTATTTAGGTGCCTAACTTCCATTGATTTCAATAGGAGTTAGGTATCTTAACATCTGGATCTAGGCCTTAGCTCTTTTGAATATCCCACCCATATATCTTCCAGCTGATGCATACACAGAACTCTTCTTAAAGCTAAAGGGAGTTACAGGCACATTAAGTGGAGACAGCTCCTAATACGATAATTCTGAATAGAGTTGTGGAATTTAATAGGTCAGTAACCTACAGCCATTGTTCCAGATAAACTTTTAGCTCAAACATCCTTTCTCAACTGTGTCCCATGCAACAACTGTTGTTGTTTATATTCTAATGGCATTTGTATTCTGGTGGCTGAATTTGGGTACCCTTGCGCTCAGCACTGTGCAAACACAGAATTGGAGTCTCTTCTCATTTTGGTTGACTTATGCTACTGCTTAAACTGGATGAAGTTGCAGCAAATTACTATTACTATCACACCAAACTCTGCAGTTTTGGGGCTTGATCCTGCCGAGGGCAAGGCATCAGTTCTTGGTTGGTGTGCTCAAGGGTTCAGTGGAGGCTTTCAGTTAAAAACTGTATCTGCATTTGGGTGCTGGCACAGCCCAGAGATTCCTGCATCATGTTCATCCATCGTGCAACCCAACGCAGATCTGCTGGAACTGGGTGGGGCAGATGTGTCAGGATTCAAAATGAGCCAGATTTTCACACTGCTGAACTGTCCCAGTGGCCACAGTTTCCTTTCCTCCACCCCAATGCAGGATCAAGCTCTTAATGGTTAGATAGTGCGTTGCCATGTTTGTCAGTTACATTCAAGGATCAAATTTTCTGCTATTGTCAATGGATGAAACTCCACTGCAGTCAATGAAATCACACGCAGAAAAATTGACACTGCGCTTCTTAAATTAGGCTAGTAAAAATGCAGAGTAACTTCACATCTACGAAAGAGAACTGGGATTAACCTTCTGCTTTATCAATTTATTTAAAGTGCAGTAAATGTAGAGCTAATTGAATGATGGAAGAAATTGTTTATGAATTATTTAATAAAAAAAAGTCACAATCTGCCATGAATATTATTTGCAATCAGTTATTTGATTAGCTCTGGGCCTTTGTCCATGACTTGGGGATCCTGGTGCTGACTTTTTACCTTTCAGGGAGGCTCCCGCCCTACATATGTGAGTGGGAGTGTTTTGGCTGATTTGGGGCCATCACAAAGGAGGCGAGCCGTGTGACAGATATGAATTCTCCCAGGTTAGTCAGTGCTGTGTTGACCATTAATACAGGGGACATAAGTGGTTCATAGGCCTTGAGCTAGCCCTCTGTGCAGGGATGAATTCTGGGAAGCAGGGACACAACAACCAGAAATTCTGAACCTTGAAGCAGAGGGTAGAAAATTTCATACAGACTGAAGTAGTTAATTCCATATCATTTCATGCTTCCTCTGTTTCTTTGTTTTGGTCCTCATTTGGGTCTTAGCCCCACATTTGAACCTTGGCCATAAATCGAGAACTACAATGATCAGCCTGAGCACCACACCGTGAAAAGTTCTGGGTTTTCTTGGTCCGTCCCCCGCCCCCCCCAAAGTAAAGACTGCACGGGGGGTAGGTCTGATTTTGAAATGAAGAACTTGGTTTTAATGAATAACCTAATTCAGTGCAATTTTATCTTGCAGCAGGTATATCCAGGCATAAACATTGTATTGAACTGTGTGGGTCTGAGAGAGAGAGATGGAGTCCAGTCACTCAAAAACTATATTTTTAAAAGCCCTCTTCACTATCCCAACTGTAATAAACAGGAATCTGATATTTTTAGCTATCAAGAATGGCAGAGCTTTTTCCAGACAGTTTAAACTCCTTAAGAAATTGTGCATAACAATGATGATAAAGTAATACCTGCCCTTCAGAAAATCCTCCGTGTAGTCAGCAAACCACTTCTCATATTCCTTGAGGTAGTCCTGGCTAGCAGACCAAGCTGTAATTTGGTAGGTATCGGGCTGCTCATATTTTCGCCCTAAAAATATGCATAATTAAAAAATAGACATTTTCCTTAAGCACACCTACATTTAATACAACCTTAATTTTTTTTTGTACAGCCTTTTTGGAAAATAAGATTAACAATTTTTTAAAAATTGAATCTGATGAGAAATTAATAAGTAGTTTATTTTTTAACCACCCAGGTTTATAAGGATGGGAATCATCCAGTCTCACAGGAAGTCCTGCAGGAGGAGAAGAAAACTCTCTGGGAACTCACCCTTATAGAGTTTACCCAAATTGTTCCATCTGATGATTGTTCCCTCCACAGTGGAACAGGCACTGATTTGGCCCACACAACCCACCAATCCCCCAAGATTCATCTGAATCTCAGGATTAGCTAAGTGACATGATGGGTTATACAAGCTCCACACTTGGCAACCTGAGAGTAATGAGGGATTGTGGGCTCAGTCGGCCTTTTCCTGCCACACCAGTGAGAGATGTCCGAGGTGGAGGCAGGAGCTTAAAAGGGGAGAGCACAGCACAGCTGGTGGCACACTAGAGTGGAAAGCAGACTTGAGTCCTCAGCTCCTGGAGAAGGGCTGGCTGAAGGCAAAAGCTCCTTGAGCAACTGTTGCCTGATGCCCTGCACCCTCCCTAAAGGAAAGGAAAGAATTGGTGGGGCAATTCTTGTATATTAGCCTGTGAGCCCAGTTGGGGCCACAGCCTACCAGAAGCCCTCGGATGGAAGAGAGCTTTATCTTACCAGTGGAGCAGTTATTATGTTCATTTCTTTTTGTGTTCATTGCCAACCCTGAAAAGGGCAGACTGTCTGGGACTGATTATCTTATGACTGTACTGGCATGGTGGAATGCCCAGACATTGCAGACTAGAGGCCAGATGAATGCAGAAGCCCACCTTGGGCCTTAGGGGGCAATCTGGGCAAGAAATGCAGTGCCAAGGTCCAGAGATATGTATGCAAAGACCCTGTGCTTTTCCTCAGGCTACAGGACTCCTCACCTCCTCCTTGCTACCTGGCACCATGGTTCCACTGGAGACATGAACATTCACCATGAGTGTGAGTGAGTTAGCGACATGCATGTCCAGTCTCTCTTCATCAGAACATTGCTGTAAGCAACTAACTCTTGTCCCCAAAGTACTTTGTGTGTGCTATGTTTTAAAAACCCTAATAAACCCAAAGTAGTCCAGAACACTCCTAGATGTTTCTCTTCACTGAGGGCTACTGCCCTGCCTAATTCTGTTCCCTACAGTCAGCACTTTCATAGCTAGAGCTGTCATTTAAAAAAATGTTCTTGCAGGATTTTATTTATTTATTTTTTAAATGGCTGAGGCATTTTTTGCTCACATTTGCCAAAAATAGTCACCTGAGAAGGCAGAAAACTTTCATCCCAGGAGCTGAATGTTTTGAAAAGTTATAAGAAATTGAAAATGGATTTATAATGGAAAAGCTTAAGGACCTTAAATATGACAAGAACTAACTGTAAGAATGATCAAAGAGCCTAGCTTGTACCTGCTATGCATATGCTTTTACTAGTTATATATAATATTTATATTACTTTGGTAATAAGCTCTTCTGGGAAAGGTGCCTTTACCTGGGATCATCAGAACACCTGTCTGTAGTAACATTCTGACTTCATGACCTCTATTATGAAGGACTTGTGAAATTTCATCCATCATAAGATAATGGCTTCCTCCTATGGATTAAAAAAGATGACAGATTATGCAATTCCCATTTTAATATGTAGATAACGCTGACAAATGCTGATAAAGTTTGGCTTCAAAAGCAGCAGCAGTAAATGGAGACATTTGCAGTGATATTTATTTATAGTTTCACTATGTAAACAAGCTAAATTGGGCTAAATGTTTTTTTCCTGTGGTAACTCCATTTAAGACAATTGGCCCAATAGTGTCCAGTGTTTTTAAGACAAATGTGTCCCTACCCTTTTTTTAAATTTTACTTTTACAAACTGTAAAATGCTAATTGTATAGACCTCATACTGTTAACATCTAGCTGACCATTTTCTATAGAGCCCATTGAGTTATTTGTATTGCAGTAGTGCCCAAAGGCCCCAATCAGCATCAGGGTCCCATTGTGCTAGGGCAGTACAGGCACATGACAAGATATGAAGCCAGAGCCTTAGCTGGTGTCCCTGGAGCTATGTCCGGGTACTGCTTAATGTAAGTGGGAGCTAAGAGTGCTCTGCAGCACTTCACAGCATCAGGCCCTAAGCTCATGGGGCTTGATCCTGTACTACTGAACTCAAGGGGGGTCTGTCGGTTCCTCAGAGGGGCAGAAGCTACCTGTGGATGGGGGTGCAAAGAGATTGGAGGGGGAACAAAGGGAGCTACTGAGACTTGTGATAGGGAAGTGTAGGGCAGCCAGCTCCAGGCTGGGAAAGGGCATCCCAGCAGTCCTACTACCATTCTTGGGCGGCTGGTGCCTTGTTTTCCCCCAAGCCTTTCTCAGCAGCTGGTGCCCTCTTCACCGACACCCTCTGTCCCATCCCCTACCCTGATGGCTGGTGCATGGGCTCCTGCTCCTGTCCCAGTGTCTCTTCCAGGACCAGGGCCGTAACTAGCTATTTTGGCACCCGAGGCAAGAATATAAAATTGCGCCTCCTCCCCCCACAAAACACACACACACACACACACACACACACACACATACACACACACACACACCCAGCGCCGCCCGCCCCGCGGAAACAAACCCATCTTCCACTCTCCTTGCCTTCCCAAACTGCTGACTAGATAAAGCCATCAGCTCACAAGGCTGCCTAGGCTCATTCAGACTTTCCGTACCAGGCACATTGCCACTCCCAACAGATAAACTGCTGCTCTTCTCACTACACTGAGCTACTTCCAGCAAATCACAGTCACCCTTTTCAGGTTCACTTTTACAAGCTGCACTAGCCAACAATCCATCACCCATCCAAAATCTACCCTTTCCTTCCTCAGTTAGGGCTTTCACCTGACCATCCACTTTAATCTGCCCCTGAGAAACATTTTCCTGACCAATGAGATCTTTCTGCTCTTGATCTAACTCCAGATTCACTTCTGAGACATTAGACAGACATTCAGAAACTTCATTTACAGACAAACAGCTCTTCTCCTCAGACAAACCTTTGGAGAAACCCGCCCCAGGCAAATCATTGCCCACAATAGACACAGGTTTAAGATCATTCCTGTCCTGTGACTGGCTACCTGGACTGAACAAAGCTTTAACATTTTCCCCAATCAAAAGATCTTTAGGCAATAACTTCCTTACACCAGCTATAACTTCATGCTGAGTACCATTCCATTCAAGTGGATTCTGGCTAAAGGCACACTTACAGGCTTACAGTAAACTCATAGAGGACTACAACATTCACACTCTGATTTGGTAAGTAATCTTCCTTTTTGACAAGATCTGCTTTAAAAAGAGTGATGTTAGAAGCCATAATTTGCCCTAAACAGCTTTTACCATTGACTTTTACACTCTCTATGAATTTTTCATTACCACTCCCATACATAGCATTGGCATAAGTTATGGAGCTACCCTCTACTGAACACACAGTAACAGTATTTACATAAAAGGTGGCAGTGTTTGGGGTACATTTGGTTACACCCAGACAACTGCTCAGAATTATACAACATACCAACATTGTTATAAACTGGACTTTCAAGAGGATACAATTTCTGCTGTTCTTCCCTTGCTTTTTTGACTTGGAGCTGAAGTCTTTCCACTTTTGCCTTAGCTTCTAGTTCCTGCAATCGAATTTCTGCCAGTTTTTGTTCATGCTCAAGTTGCAGTTTACTTGCTGCCTTTTGCATTCCAATTGCTTCTGCAGCTTCTGTAGCATCAGGTAAGGGCTCTGCTCCTGCCTTCTGATTACTAGCCATTAACAGATTTCTCAGTTATTGATTTGTAGCTTTCTTTCTGAACCTTATCCACTTTTCTGAACACAAATCTTTCAGGGCTTTTTTGCCAAGGCCCTCATATGCTCTTTGCTCACCCATTGCAACTGCTCTTTAATCAACCAAACTCTCAATCCCAAAAATCAAAATTGGATAGCCTGGGGTTCTGACCCAAAGCTTAATTGACCCAGTTCTGTGGATCCTAGCACGACTACACCACTGTAACGATGCTGGTTCTGGCGGGACCCAACTGAGAGTATCAATTCAGGACAAATTGCTTAAAACAGGGCAGTTACAGCCCAAGGCGGGGGGTTTTCCACCTCTAAGGCAAACCAAACCAGCCAGACAAAGAGGACTTTGGTCTCACCCCAGTGGCTAACCACAAGTCACACAAGCAATTCCCTTAGAAACTCCAGTTTCCCAGTATCACCACCAGTGCCACTCGTTATGGGGACAAATGGTCATGAAAATCAATACCCCAGTAAAAGAAAAAGGGTTCTCCCAATCCCAAAGGACCAAGCCCCAGACCCAGGCCAATATACAAACCAGATCTTACCCACAAATCACTCCATTGCCAATCCTTTAGAATCTAAAATCTAAAGGTTTATTCATAAAAGGAAAAAAATATAGATGAGAGCAAGAATTGGTTAAATGGAATCAATTACATACAGTAATGGCAAAGTTCTTGGTTCAGGCTTGTAGCAGTGATAGAATAAATTGCAGGTTTAAATCAAGTCTCTGGAGTACATCCACAGCTGGGATGGGTCATTCAGTCCTTTGTTCAGAGCTTCAGTTTGTAGCAAAGTCCCTCCAGAGGTAAGAAGCAGGACTGAAGACAAGATGGAGATGAGGCATCAGCCTTTTACAGTCTTTTCCAGGTGTAAGAACACCTCTTTGTTCTCACTGTGGAATATTACAGCAAAATGAAGTCTGGAGTCATATGGGCAAGTCCCTGCATACTTTGCTGAGTTACAAGGCGTATCTGCCTTCTCTCAATGGGTCAATTGTATATCTGATGGTCCTTAATAGGCCATCAAGCAGGCTAGGCAGAGCTAACACCAACTTGTCTGAGATGTCACCCAGAAGCATAGCATAAGTTTGAAATACAGACAGTATAGAGCCAACCTTCATAACTTCAACTACAAAAGTGATACACACATAAAGAGCATAATCATAACCAGCAAACCATAACCTTGTCTTAGACACCTCATTTGACCCCCTTTATACAAGATTTGGTGCCACTACAGGAATTTGGTTGCATCCATGTTCTATACGGTCCCAGATTATGTCAATAATGTCACAGCCAAAAAGGAAGGTGGTGGGTGGGGGAAGAAACAGCACGCATAGGGTGACCAGATCACAGCAGTAAAATAGTACCCGCCCCCTCCCCGCTCGGCCCCACCATCACACCCCTCTTCACCCCCTAGCTCCCCGCTGGCTTGCTGCGTCCCTCCTAGTCAGTCCCCCACCCACCACTCACCTTTCACCTTCTCCCTCCCCTGCCAGAAATCCCCATGCCCGCGCCTAGAACCCCTGATGGCTCACTGCTCACCTCTTTGCCCACCCACCCGCTTGCCCACCTGCTCACCCCCGACTCACCGCTCGCCCTCCCACCCCAAGTATAAAGCCTCATTCAAAGACCCAGGGGGTCACTATATTAATGCACACACCAGTCAATCAATGCAGTACCAAAAATTAAAATACTGAAAATGGATGCCCCCCTCCATCCACCAACTTGCCTCCTCATCCCCCCTCCAAGTATGGGGGCAGCAGGTTTGTAGAAATTTTGGTGGTGCCCCCCACCTGCTTAAGGCTCTGCGAGGGAGTTTGGGTGGGGGGAGGAGGTCTGGGGTGCAGGCCCTGGGTTGGGGCAGGGGATTGGGTTGTAGGACAGGGGATTGGGTTGTAGGTTGGGCTCTGGGATTGAGTCTGGGGTGCAGGCTCTGGGACAGAGTTTGGGTGCTGGGTGCAGGCTCCGGGCTGGGGCACAGGGTGGGGTGCAGGATGGGTGGAGGAGTGCAGGCTCTGGGAGGGAGTGCAGAGGGCTGGGTGCAGGCTCTGGGACAGAGTTTGGGGGCCGGAGAGGGGGTGTGGGCTCTGGGAGGGGGTGGTGGGTGCTGGGGGGGAGGGGACTGCCATCACATGTGGCTTCCTTCCTCCTCTGCTGCCCCTCACCATAGCCTCACTGAGGGTGGGGGATGGGGCTGCCCCTTGCCCAGTTTGCAGGAGTGGTGGCTGGGGGGGCGCGGATCACAGTGTCAAACACTCACCAAAGCCCCAGCAGCTGCTCAGGTGAGTGAGGTCCACTGCCGATGATCCTGTCGCCCACCGGAAGCCCCCTCAGCGTCTCCTCCAGGTGGGTGCCAGGGAGGGGAGGGCTGCATCTGAGAAGCATGTGTGTGGCTCCGTCCTCCCCCTCTCCCCTTCCTGACTTGCAGCAGCCAGCTGCTCGCCCTCAGCTCTCTGACGGCCAGCGTCTCTGGTTGCCATAGAGGCAGCAGCAACCAGGAGAGCAGCTTTCGGTCCAGCAGAGACACTTGCGCCCCTCGGCTCTGAGTGCCCGAGGCAAGTGCCTCACTCGCTTCGCCCTCGTTACGGCACTGGCCGGGACCCACTGTGGCTGGAAAAAGGGCCCAGGCTGGGCAGTCTTACCCAGGGCCGGCTCCAGGCACCAGCTTAACAAGCAGGTGCTTGGGGCGGCCAAGGGAGAGGGGCGGCACCTGCGGCAATTCGGGGGCAGCAGGTCCCTCATTCCCTCTAGGAGCGAAGGACCTGCCGCTGAACTGCCGCCGCCGATCGCGGCATTTTTTTTTTTTTTTTTTGCTTGGGGCGGCAGAAATGCTGGAGCTGGCCCTGGTCTTACCTGCCCCCCATCTCCTCTGCTGCAGTGGCCACTCCAGCCCTTCCTCTGGGTCCCACTCGTATCTCATGTGTATGGGGGGGG